AGATGGTGACCTTCTTGAGGGCAGGGACTATCTTTTGCTTCTTTGTATCCCTAGTGCCTAGCACAGTGCCTGGCACATCCAAGGCACTTAATAAATCTTTATTGACTGACTGAAGAGGGAATGGCAGAACTGAGGTCAGGGGGGTGTCTTACAACATAGAAGAATGGGAGGGACCTTAAAAAACAGGTTGTCAGTGATGCCTGAGAACAGGAGATGTCAGAGCTGGGAGGGAACCTAGAACAGGGAATGTCAGAGCTGAGAGGGGTCCTAGGACAGGGCATAAAAGAGCTGGGAGGGGTCCTAGGACAGGGCATAAAAGAGCTGGGAGGGAACACTTCTATATGACCCCAGGTTAACCTCTGCTATAGCTAGGTTGTTTGGCAACGTTTTACAGGCAGATAATTGTCTTGGGATCTACTGAGATACAGTTGGCTCCTTAATACCCAAATAAAGAGTGTAGTGGAAAGAACACTGGTCTTGGAGTCAAGAATCCTGGCTCTGTTTCTTCCCCCCTGAGTGAGCTTGGGCCAGTCATGATCTCTCTGAGCCTCAGTTTTCTCATCTCTACCATGGAGCTCATGCTGTGTCCATTCGTCCTTCCTTCCTTCTCTGTCAGGGTGACAAGCGTCTGATAAGAGAGACACCACATGGGAAGTGCACAGTCCTCTTTCAAGCCCTCCATGCCTCGGCCAGTGGTGACTCAGTGCGTGACGCTGCTGGACACATTTCTCTGTGTAGGCAAGTAAATGTCTGTGATTCTTAGCCAGCAGAAGGCCAGATTCTGAATCCGTGACAAGTCTGCCCCAGAGGGTGGTGCTGAAGAAGGAACATTTTTAAACTTTTCATTAACTGCCCTGACAGCGTGCACTGGTTGTGGGCTGGAAGGCCCTGCCAGCATCAGCCCTAGGGATGTCTTTTGGACGTGTTTGGATTAAGTACGAAGGATGATCTGCTGTTAGGATGGTGCTTGGTAGTAAAAAGACCACACATACAGAATTAGACTGACCGGGCACCCGTCTCCCTCCGTGCTCGGGTCCGTGCTGCACCCAGCTGCCTGAGGGTCATTCCCAAGCACAGCTTCCTGCCTCAGAAGCCTCTAAACCCACCTACAAATGCCTGCCCTTCACTGTCTGGTGACAGCTTACCCCTCCAGTCTTACTGTGCTGATTACCCTCCTTCACACACTACCTGACAAGCCAAACCGACCTATTTGTTGTTGCTTGTTCCTGATGCTTCATCTCCTGCTTCCATGCCTTTGCCCAAGCTGCCCCCTGCCAGGAATGCCGTCCCTTCTCACTTCCACCTCAAGCATCATCTTGGCTCAGTTACCTCACCTGGACCTCGCACAGTTTTCTCTTTGCTCATGTGCAGACATGCTGTTTCCCCCTTGTCCCCAACCCACCGAATGAGAAGATTTAGGTAAAACACTTTGCACGCTCCAAGGTGCTCCTTAAATGCCTGCTGTGGAGTCTAGCCCCTGGATTCAAATCACAGCTGTTACTTATTAGCTGTGTGTGCTTCCCCACCCCCTCGCCCCCATCATCTGTAAAATGAGGTGGTTAGCCCAGATCACCCCTGAAGGCCCCTCCATTTCTAAGCCTTATGATCTTACAACTCGGTCAGCATGGGAAGTGGTCCAGCAACCAGCTACCCACCCATCTCTTTGTTCTTACTGTTTACTCACTCACTAGAAAAGGGAGGGAAACTTTCCTGATTCCATCCCATGACTCTAAGGCCAAGGGAAGGCAAATGACTTATCCAAAGTCATACAGGTGGAGCAGCGAGGTGGTGCAGTGGATAGAGCGCCTGCCCTGGTGTCAGGAGGACCTGAGTTCAAATCCGGTCTCAGACACATAACACTTACTAGCTGTGTGACCCTGGGCAAGTCACTTAACCCCATTGCCTAGCCAAAAACAAAACAAAGTCATACAGGTAATAAGTAGCAGAGCTGGGATTGAACTCAGGACCTGCCCCCGAAGCACATTCTTTCTCTGGGATCAGACAGTAGCTTGTTGGTGTTTGGGACGTGCTGGGTGAGTAGAATCTCTGGTAAACTGCCCTTCAAACAGAGCCCCTTGGGCAAAAGAACTGAGAGAGGCCTGAGTCTCCCGTGGAATTGTATATTAACATAGAAATTCGAACTATTTTGATTTAGGGGTTTTTTCCCTTAATTTAAAACAAAACATGATGTAACAGCAGCAACAACAAAACCCCGTTGATTTTTTTCTTCATTGTGTCTAAAATGCCAAGAAAACAGCTTGTTGTCTGAAATCGGGAGCCCTTCTTATTAAAAGATCGTTTACATGATTAATGTGCTCAGTCCACTGGGGCAGGGAGTGCAGGGGTCACCTGTAGCAGAGCTCCAGGCCCTCAGCACATCCCAAACTGACCTCATCTCCTACCCCCTGCCCATGCCCGGCCCCCTCCCCCTCCCCATGCCTGGCCCCCTCCCCCTGCCCATGCCTGGCCCCCTCCCCCTGCCCATACCTGGCCCTCTCCCCTACCCCATGCCTGGCCCTCTCCCCCTGCCCATACCTGGCCCTCTCCCCTACCCCATGCCTGGCCCCCTCCCCCTGCCC